CCAAAAAAAAAAAAAAAAAAAAAAAAAAGCTACTTTCCATTCGACCCTGCCAGGCAGCAGCAAGTTAGTTGCCCTGTCTTTCATCGCTTATCGACTCCAATGCCATCAGCCGCAATGCGAAGGAAGAAAAATGACTAGCAGGGTGCAGAGGATATAAGGGCTCTGAAAGCTACCGTCTTCATCCAAACACCCAGTCATTATCGCTGTATCTAGACTGGAAATCCCGTCAGATACAGCTATAATAACCAGGCAGAGAGTATTCAGGTGAACAGCAACATGAGCTCAGTCAAATCAAACCGTGCTCGTTCAGGCGAATAGCGAGATGAGTTCGGCCAAATCGAAGTGTGTTCGTTCAAAAACTAAGCAAGCATCCAGAATTCACAGACGTCGTCAAAACTGTTCTTTATCTAAACTTTGAAATCCTCTCCACTTGACACTGCCCACAGAAGCTTTGCCTTCCGCCATATTGAATTCATCCATCAACCATTTTCTAAGGGCAGCGGTAAACGTATCCGTAACCGTCTCCATAAACGTCTCCACAAACGTCTCTGTAAACATCTCCGTAAACGTCTCCGTATCACTTTTAGGCACAACATTCCGGCCGATTCAAACACCCCATCATCTTGCAGCAGACATCAAACCCTATAATTCCAGCGACTCAACAGATGCTAATTTACTACTGAGTCAGTACTGACAAAATCACAATTTCCTGTACAGTGTATACAGGATACACTATACTGTGCTTGTTTACAACTAACAAAATGCTCGACGCACCCATGGAGAGAGAGAAAAAACAGGTGAGATCAATAACATCCCGCAGAGACTTACCGTCTGCAAACATTCCAGTATCAAGAAACTCCAAGGCACTTCCATTCGCTGTCCCCGACTGCCCAGACGGCAGATTCACCAGGTCGTCTGCGATCGTTTCCGGTGCTTGCACATCAGCGATCCGAAACTCTGCCATTTCAAGTCTCTCTCTCTCTGCCTCCATTCCGTAAACCGCAGTTTGCTCTGACTTTGCGAGCTTCTGCATTCGTACATCGTTCTCTTCGAAGCACCTTGTGACCTTACCACCTGAAGTAACACAAACCAAACAAGGAAAGAACCAAATACAAGGAAGAAAGCCACTGCTTGGTTGTGAGAAGAAACAACAACGTCACCGCAACCCTCACAACCAAAAGTAAAACAGACCAAAACATTTTGGGGGGGTCGGGGGTCGGGGGTCGGGGGGGAAGAGGAAGAACCAAACAAGAAGAAAGACACTGCTCAGTGGCCTTCAGGACATGCATTCAAATTGGAACGATACAGAGAAAATTGCATTGGCCCCTGTGGAAGGGGAAAAAAGGGAGCAAAAAGGAAAAAAGACACCTCATAGTCAAGAGCAGAAGCACAACAACCTCACGGTAACCTTCGCTCCTGATACACGTGCTGCTCCCCACAAGCAGATCGGAGCATTGTTTTTGTAAAAAAAAACTATGTTGGGCCGTCGCCTGGCCCGGCACGCTCGACCCAGTTGAGCAGAGGGGGGGTCGCCCGACAAAACCAGACGGGTCAAAAAAGAGGCAAGGATCCCAAAAAAAAATAAATGACTTCAGGACAGGACTGCGCTTGGCCTAAGCAGTCAGAATCCAGTCTTAACTTCAGTTTTGGTGATGGGTCATCCAGGTGCAATGAACCCAGTCTGGAAGGGAACTCGTCAATGTCGAAATACAAGATGTCTCAACGCTCGTCAATGTCTCCAAAATCATGAAATGTGATCTGAAGTACAATGTCTCGTAGCCAGAGGACAAAGCTGATAGGAGGGAGATAAGACTTCGAGGGTGGAAGAGTATCTGTAATGACCCGCCAAAACACAGACTGAGAACACTGCTGATTTCTGGGATTTGCCGCTGGAATGAATGCCTTGCTGAGATTCCCGCATTCTGCTGTGGTTTCCAAGTCTGTGTGTGTGTGCGTGCCTGCTGGTTTGCGTGCCTGTCTGAGTGCTTGTCGGCTGTGTGTGTGTGTGACCCGCAAGGGTACTTGTTGGTTGAAAGGCCCTGCAGGGCCGGTACTTACCTGTGGCCGTGACTTTGAGGGTTGCCGCGGGGAAAACACTCAAGTAGCGGGGGTAGGCCCGCGACACTTAGAGCAGCGGGGAAAAACACTCACGTAGCAGGTAGGCCGGTACCACTCAAGTAGCGGTAGGAGTGTCAGGTACTGGAGGCCGAGCAAGAGAAGACAAAAAGTTGGCATTTTTAGAGGCCCAGTAGCAGTAGGTTAGAGGTAGGCCGGTACCAGTCCAAGTAGCCTGAGTCTAGGGCCTGTCCGGACGATAGCAGAGCCTGCAAGGAAGCTGAGCATGTGCATGTAGCTCTTGTAAAGCCTCTCCATGAGCCTTCTACTTTTGCTGCATTTTCAACCTCGGAAAGTAATTCTACTTCTACTACCTCTACTTCTATTCCATCTACTTCTACTGTAAAGAATCAGTCTACTTCTGATCCAAGTACTTCGAATTTGGTTGTAATTGCTGTAAATTCTCAATCTGATTTTCTCTCTCCTGATGAGGATGATCCTCCACCGGAAGTCCCAACAAACATTCGCCGTCTATTTGATCGATTTCCTGAAGTTCTGGCTGAACCTCGTGGAGTTCCCGGGCGTCCGGTCAAACATAAGATCGAGATAATAGAATGGAGTGTTCCTCCAAAGGGTTGCGTCTATCGTATGGGACAAGGCGAGTTGAAGGAGCTGAGGAGACAAATTGACGATATGATTGATCGTGGATGGATTAGGCCTAGTGAGTCTGAGTTCAGTGCACCTGTCCTGTTTGTGCCGAAGAAAGGAGACAAACTCCGGATGTGTATCGACTATCGTGGCCTAAACCGTATCACCCGAAAGAACGCTTATCCCTTGCCTCGGATAGATGACCTGCTAGACGCTGCAGGTGGGTGCAAGGTCTTCTCCAAGATCGACCTCAAGTCTGGCTACCACCAGATTGAAGTTTATCTGAGCGACCAGCACAAAACTGAATTCAAAACACGCGATTCCTGGTCGTGTGGTCACCATGGTGAAAGGTGCACAACCTATGATAGTTCCACTCCTCACCACTTAGACTTTCTACCCACTAACTAACTGACCGACTGACTCTCTAGGGACCACAAAATCCTGTCAACTAGGGTATGTAGCCTAATCTACTTCTAGGCTGTCACTACACAACTTCATTGTTGATCAGGAGGCATTTAAGGAGATCTCCCATAACTCCTCAAGAATTCTTCAACGTTGCAGTCAGGACGACGTGATCAGCAAGCTCTCTCAAGACCTAGACAGCTGGTTGTGCAGCCCACATCTCGAATTTTGGGCCTACCATGCCACATTGAGCAGCCCGTCGGTCTGTATCGGGTCTGTATCGGTCCTTGGGAGGGTCAGGCCTCTGGGACGTGTCAATCGTCAAAAATGGACTTGAGCCCTATTCAGCCCGTGTAGGTTTGGTCAACACAACTCTATGACCATCCTATCAACCTGGACAGAAGTGACTCAATTAAAAAAGAAGAGACAAAAGAACCAAGGGGTGTGTGCACATGCATAGGGTGAGGGGGTAGGCTTGAGGCTTGGCGAGATTATACCAGCTCCAGCTTGGTCAAAATCGTGGTCAACGGCCTCCGGTCAATGCTGGTCAATGGCCAGTCAACTTGGTCAAAGCTCCCTGTCAACCTTCTTGGTCAAAACTTCAACCTTCGGCTATGGCTGCCGACCCTTCTCCTTCGCCAACCTCTCGCTCTCTCTCCTTCCCCCTTCTCTCTTCTCCTTCATCCACCTTGGCTATGGCTTCCTTCCTCTTTCTCGTCTCTTTCTCCTCTTTTTTCTTTCTCCTCCTCAACTTCTTCGTCACTCCCGGCCTTCTGCTTCATCGCAAGGTCCGAGCTTGGCAGCTATGGCCGCCTCCTTTCTCCTTCGTAGGTGACACAACCAACCTTGTATCGCTCAGTCTCTCTCTCTCTCTCTCTCTCTCTCTCTCTCTCTCTCTCTCTCTCTCTCTCTCTCTCTCTCTCTCTCTCTCTCTCTCTCTCAGTTCGTGGTTGTTTTTCTCCTTCTTTGTAAACATGGCGACTACGGCCATCAGGCCTTAAACGGTCTTCCACTTCGGCCGACAACAACTCACATCGAATCAACGCAACTGCTTACTCCTTGACGGCAACGTGGCGGTTCTTCTTCTCGGCGAGGCGGCTTCGTCTTCACCTGCAGCAACCTTCCACCTCGACAATCAGACTATGACGCAATACCGTGCAACAATCGTAGTCGCACAGCGGGCGCATGTAGACAAGCATGCGCGGGAAAATCTTGTGCGGAATCTACCAGCAACGCGCCCGTGATTGCTAGTAGGGCGCGAAACGATAGTGAGCGGGAGCGCGCAAAGCTAATCGCGCGATCTACAGCGGTGGGTGTGAGGCGATAGCGACGGGCCGCGGGCCAGGGGCAATAGCGAGTGTGAACGAGCAAAGCTTTGACGCGCGCCATAACAACGGGTGCGCACGACAAGCAATCGAACAAAAGCGAGCTCTCGCGGTAGCGAGAAGCGACTTGCGTGGGAAGCGTAGCAAGCAGCGGGCAGCGAGCAGTTGCAATGGAGCCGCGAACGCGGGCACGATGTCGATGTGGCGCCTTCACTAGTGTCTCAAAATCAATCGAGCAAGCTCACAGGTCGCCTTGGTTTCAATGCCTGTAGCCTTCGTGTCGCCACGAAGTTCAGACTATACGGGCAGGCGATGACGTGGCGCAGGTCTTCCTTGGCACGCAAGGCTGACGTGGCGCGCTGGCCCTTCCTCGACAAAGCAATGACGTGGCACCTCCTCCTCGGGTGCCTCTTCTCTTCTCCATGTTTGCAGGCCACGACGATGACGACGATGGTGGCGGCGACGGAACAACGGGAACAAGCTCTGATACCAATGCAATCAGACTTGTCTTCCCCGACACTCAGCATGCGTACAAACAAATGACAATCAAGCTGATGACTTGCGCCCACACAAAGCTTAGAGATAACGAAGGCAAGAATGAAGCTTAGATTCAAAGTTGTCTTTATCGACTGTCGCCGATCCTCCTTTGCTCTCAGCAACTTGTTCGCACACACACCCTGAATTTCCCTGGATGTCCCGCATACACCAACACAACACACTCATACACACACTAACAACCTATTCTTGCTGACGTGGCGGCTATGGCCGTCGTCTCTCTCCTTCATTAACAAGCTATCGGATATGGCCGATCTTCCTCTTCTTAGCCCTCTTCGTCAACGGGCTCCTGCAGACCTCCGCACACAAGACACTTTGCTAGCGCTTCCGCACGGCTCACAGGCAAAATGAATGAATGACTGATTATTTATACTTTGGATTGCCGCTTTATTTATACTTTGGATTGCCGCTGGTCTGCCTCTCTCCATCAGGCCCGAAGTGCACACAGTCCCGCATGGTACTTGCTCACTTGAGAAGGTGCGACTGGGACTGGGTACCGCTGACTGAGTAAGGTAAGACTGCCCACTTGACCACTGGCCTACGGACTGTCTACTAGGACTCACGAAGGGTGAGTTCCGGACCTTATGGAAGACTATGACCCTTCAATACTGTAGTAACTATGACTAGACCTTTCAACATTGTAGCAGCTACGACTCCTACCACTGCTAAGACCTCTTAACCTCCAGACCTACGGTTCAAGACCGGACGACCACCCTACCTACAACAACAAACAACCGACTTTCAAGACGCAGGTCGCGGGTTCGAGCACACACGGGTCACCTGGTACTGTGTACGGGTAAGGGCAAGGTCTTGGGATCGAGCTCTGGGAACTGCAACTGCTACCACAAAGGTGAAAACCGTTTCAATTAAGGCCTGAAGAGAAAAAGATAACAACAATTAGAGATTGGCCCATAACCGAAACTGTCACCAAATTGAGATTTTTTCTAGGACTTGCTAGTGACAATAGGATGTTTATAAGGAACTTCTCAGTGATAATTGCGCCTATGAGAAGATTGTTAAAGAAAGAAAAACCTTGGTTATGGGACAAAGGTTGTGAGTCTGCATTTAAGAAGTTAAAATATGTGTTAACTCACTATCATATCTTGAAAATTGTTTATCCTTCTCTCCCTTTCATTGTTACTACTGATGCTAGTAAGTATGGGATTGGAATTGTGCTATAACAAAATGACCACAAGGGATATAGACCCATTGACTGTATGTATAAACGTCTTCCATCTGACAAGGTGGCCAACTCCACATACGAAAGGGAATTGTATGCCTTAGTTGTAGCACCAAACACATGGAAGCACTAATTCCTCGGGAGACACTTCACTGTTTACTCAGACCACTTAACTCTGAAGTGGATAAAGACTCAACCACGACTCTCCGACAAGTTGGTTAGATGGTCTGCATTCATTGATACGTTTGACTTTGAATTGAAAACTATTAAAGGAAAATCTAACGTTGTTGTAGATGCTCTGTCTAGACGATCTGATTTATTTGGAACCATTGTTTCCTATCTTGATATTGGGAATGAGTTAAATCAAATTCGTAAGGGTTATGTAGATGATCCAATTTGGAGTCCTATCATTGGGACCCTACAAAGGAACCTTGAACTCTTTCTTGAATATCGAATGTTTGATAACTTACTCTTTTTTATCAACAAAACCGAAGAAAGACTTTGCATTCCACATAAAGAACATATTAAAAGTATGATTATTGGGGAATGCCATGACACTGAAGGACACTTCGGATTTAAGAAGACGTATGTTAATATAAGAGAACGCTTTGAATGGAAAGGAATGGACGAGGATGTGCTAACCTATGTGCAAACTTGTCTTGTTTGCCAAAGGAACAAGCCCTCACATGAGAATCCATTGGGACTGTTGCGGCCACTACCTATTCCAAGTGGGCCAGGTGAGTCCATCTCGATTGACTTGACGAGTCTCACCAGGAGTCGGAATGGCAATAGTCAGGTAATGGTCAGTGTAGATCGATTCTTTAATTATGCTATGTTATGTTCATTACTCTACCTGCCCAGCCAAGCTAGAATGAAACTCGTCATCCAAAAGTTTCAGATGCAATGGGTTTCAGAAAATGGAGTTTCTAAAAACCATCGTCTTTGATCGGGA